ACTGCCAGGGATGGGCAACCACAGCTTATCTCCACCCTCACAGTCAAAAACTTCTTCCTAATACCAAATCTGAATCTCCCCTCTTTCAGTTTAGAGCCATTCCCCCTTGTTCTGTCCCTACATGGCCTTATCAGAAGTCACTCTCTAGATTTCTTGTAGACCCCCTTTAGGTACTGAAAGCTGCTGTAAGGTATTCCATGAGCATTCCCATAGTCAGGGGTTTGGGTATCTAGAACATGAGGCTCAGTTTGGGAGGCCAGGTCTACTGGGGGCTGGTGGAGCAGTTTTGCTAGGAGGCTTGCCAGACTGGTCAAGGATGCTTTAAACTAGATGTGTTGGGGGTGGGGGACATCATTCCATCCCAACGCTCCCAGTCAGTTGCCAGCACCTATAATAAATGCTCGGAACAATGTAGATATTCCAGCCGCTCCAGCCAATGAGCCGGCTTCAGTTGGAGCTCAGATGCCTCTATACAAAAGCCTGTATCATGGGGAACAAACAAGAGGAATTAGAGACGTGTGCACGTCTACGGGGGTATGATATAATAGGCATCACAGAAACATGGTGGGATGGCTCCTATGACAGGAGTGTTGGAATGGAAGGTTACAGGCTCTTTAGGAAGGACAGGCCTGGCAGGCGGGGAGGGGGAGTTGCCCTTTATGTTAGGGATAGGCTGGAGAGTATGGAACTCTGTCTGGGGACAGGTGAGCAGTCCACAGAGAGTTTGTGGGACAGGGTTAAAGGGAATATAGCTATGGGAGACATTACTGTGGGGATCTGTTACAAACCGCCTGATCAAGGAGAACCTGCAGATGAAGCACTCCATAGACAGATAGGAAAAGCCTCATGCTCGCAGGCCCTTGTTCTCATGGGTGACTTCAACCACCCTGACATCTGTTGGAAGGACGGTACGGCCCGGCACAAGCAATCCTGGAGGTTCCTCGATTGTGTGGAAGACAACTTCCTCCTGCAAGTAATAGAGGAACCGACAAGGAGAGGTGCCATGCTTGACCTCGTGCTCACCAAGAGGGAAGGGCTCGCTGGAAATGTGATGCTCCAGGGCAGCCTTGGATGCAGCGATCATGAGATGGTCGAATTCGAGATCCCCAGGACAGGGAGAAGAGCGTGCAGCAAGCTCACTGCCCTGGACTTCAAGAGAGCAGACTTTGGCCTCTTCAGGAACCTGCTTCAGAAGGTTCCATGGGATGTAGCCCTAGAGGGCAGGGGGCCCAAGGCTGTTGGTTGATATTCAAGGATCACCTGCTACAAGCTCAGGAGTGTTGTGTCCCGAGTAGAAGGAAGTACAGCAGGAGGGCCAGCAGACCTCCTTGGATGGATAAGGAGTTGCTGAGGAAACTTTGAGGGGAGAAAAAGAGACTTGTAAAAGGTGGAAGCAAGGACAGGTGGCCTGGAGAGAATCCAGGAATGTTGTCCGGGAAGCTAGGGACTAGGTTAGGAAAGCTAAGGCCCAGTTAGAATTAAACTTGGCTAGGGATGTTAAGGATAACAGGAAGGGATTCTACAGGTACATAGCAAATAAAAGACAGACTAGAGACAATGTGGGCCCTCTCTGGAAGCTCTCAGGAGAACTGGCTACCCTGGATTTGGAGAAGGCTGAGGTTCTGAATGACTTCTTTGACTCGGTCTTCACTGGCAAAGGCTCTGCCCACACCACCCAAGTCTTGGAAGGCAGACGCAGGGACTGTGAGAATGAAGACCTTGTGCCCACTGTAGGAGAGGATCTGGTTCGAGACCATCTTAAGAACCTGAATGTGCACAAGTCCATGTGACCTGCTGAAATCTCTCTGAAGGTCCTGAAGGAGCTGGTGAATGAAGTTGCTAAGCCGCTGTCCATCATATTTGCGAAATCATGGCAGTCAGGTGAAGTTCCTGATGACTGGAAAAAGGGAAATACAACCCCCATTTTCAAGAAGGGGAAAATGGATGACCCTGGGAACTACAGACCAGTCAGGCTCACCTCTGTGCCTGGCAAAATCTTGGAGCAGATTCTCCTGGAAGGCATGCTAAGGCACATGAAAATCAACAAGGTGCTTGGTAACAGCCAGCATGGCTTCACTAAGGGGAAATCCTGCCTGACCAATTTGGTGGCCTTCTATGATGGGGCTACAGAACTGATGGACAGGGGTAGAGCAGTTGATGTCATCTACCTGGACTTGTGTAAAGCGTTTGACACTGTCCCACATGACATCCTTGTCTCTAAATTGGAGAGACATCAATTTGATGGATGGAGCACTCGGTGGATAAAGAACTGGCTGGATGGCCGCACACCATCAATGTTGTGGTCAATGGCTCAATCTCCGGCTGGAGACCAGTAATGAGTGGTGTCCCTCAGGCATTGGTGTTGGGACCGGTCTTGTTCAACATCTTGGTCAATGAGAAGCTGAACATGAGCCAGCTTCAGTGTGTGCTTGCAGCCCAGAAAGCCAACCGTATCCTGGGCTGCATCAAAAGGAGCGTGACCAGCAGGTTGAAGGAGGTGATCCTGCCCCTCTACTCTGCTCTTGTGAGACCTCACCTGGAGTATTGTGTGCAGTTCTGGTGTCTTCAACATAAAAAGGACATGGAACTGTTGGAACAAGTCCAGATGAGGCCACGAGGATGATCAGGGAGCTGGAGCACCTCCCGTATGAAGATAGGCTGAGAAAGTTGGGGGTGTTCCGGCTGGAGAAGAGAAGGCTGCGTGGAGACCTCATAGCAGCCTTCTAGTATCTGAAGGGGAGCTATAAGAATGCTGGGAAGGGACTCTTCATTAGGGACTGTAGTGATAGGACAAGGGGTAACGGGTTAAAACTTAAACAGGGGAAGTTTAGATTGGATATAAGGAAGAAGTTCTTTACTGTAAGGGTGGTGAGGCACTGGAATGGGTTGCCCAGGGAAGCTGTGAATGCTCCATCCCTGGCGGTGTTCAAGGTGAGGTTGGACAGAGCCTTGGGTGACATGGTTTAGTGTGAGGTGTCCCTGCCCATGGCAGGGGGGTTGGAACTAGATGATCTTAAGGTCCTTTCCAACCCTGACTATTCTATGATTCTGTGAAAGCCCCTGGGGAAAGCACAGCTGTGTGGGCTGAGCAGGGCAGGTGCCTGACTCTGTTCCTGTGGTGCTTCCTCCTGCTCGCCACAGGCAGGAGAAGCTGGTGCCGGTGCCTCCTCCTCCTGTGGCACAAGAGTGAGAGGTCTGCGGTGCTCCTCTTCCTCTGCAGCTCTACCCAGTGCAGAAGTTGCCAGTTTGGTGCCTGTGGGTCTGGCTGGGACAGGAGATGTGCTCTGCCGGTCTCTGGCTGCCTTTGCTGTCACATCTATGCTCGTGCTGGTGGGGAAGCTGAATTCCTCCTGGGGATCTGCCTGTGGGTCCTGGAAGAGCTCTGGGACTGAGGAGTTGACCCAGATGTTGTGTACAGTGATGACTTTCATTTGGGACAACACTTTATCAATGACCTCTTCCCACTCTTCCTCCTCTTTGGCCATTGCCACATCCAGGACCTGGGTCACGTCCTGGTGTTCCATCACCTGCTGGTTGGCTCCCTGGACCACAGCCAGAGATGTGATCAGGACCTGTCCACTGTTTTCGGTGTTCCTGTCCATTTCTGCTACAACCATGAAAGCCTTCTCAGGAAAGGCCCCGGGACAGCCCTCGCTGGCAGGTGGCAGTAGGAACCTGCCCGGTGCCCCCTCCAGCCCCTCGCCTACAGCTCTGCATCCCCCGCAGGCACTGATTGCCACTTCCAGCGCCAGGATCGGCCCCACGGCGGCGATCCCATCGCCTCGGGAGAGCGCTGAGGGCTCTGCGCAGGGCTTGCTGCTGCTGCTGCTGCTGCTGCTGCATCACCCCCTTGTGGGGGAGCAGCGAGCGCGCTGCTGCCAGCGCCAGACCCAAGGGAGCCACGATGAGGATGCCTTGCTGCAGCCTGCACTTGCTGGGTTGCTTTCCTGGGCCAATAAATAAAAACCCTTTTTCCCCCGGCAGCGCTCTTCCGTGCCTGTCTGTTGGTTAGAATATATCTGAGTCCTTCATGGACCTCTGTATTTCATTAGTGTAAACCAACTGACTTCAATCTCAGCAGCTCTCTACCTGTTGCGATTAGTTCTTGTTTGCTAATGAACTGCCATTGGGTGATTAAAGACTTGTTTACTGAGGTTTAGCCGCAGTAAAGACACATATCCAGCACTCGCAGGATTTACTATGCGCTAACTGGGTTGTTGAATTAAATTCTCATTGGAGACCTTTAAACTGTGACCTGAGAGAGCTTCTCTGCAGCCAGTGGGTCCTCTCACAGCTCGCCCGTGTCCTCCTGGATCTGCTGCCATGGGCAGCATTGCTTCTAAGAGGAGGAGACAGTGTGGATCCTCCTGGCTCACTGGGGAGAGAAACTTGCTTCCTTCTGCAAGTTAAAGGTGAGGAAAACTAGGATCTCAGGTCTTGCCTGTGCTGGTGGAGCAGCTCTGCTGACGCAGGCTCCCAGATATGGTCCCCATTCTGACATGAGGGAGGGGTTCCTGGAGTGACATAATCGAGGCTCCCTGTGCTGACATGATGGAGGACCCCCAAGTTGACATGACAGGGGTGTCCCCATGGAGTTGGAGGGTGTCCTCATAGGCTTTGGTGCTGCCCCCATGGAGCTGAGAGACATCCCCATGGGGTTTGGGTATCCCCATGGGGTTTGGGGTTGTCCTCATGAAGTTGGGGGGTGTCCCTATGGAATTTGGGGTGACCCCATGGAGTTTGGGAGTATCTCCATGGAATCTGGGGGTCTCCCCATTGGCTTTGCGGTGTCCCCGCGATGTCAGCCCCGCATGCGCAATGCTGGGAGGTGGCCGTGTGGCCGGGGCGACAGCGATGTTTCCCTGGCAACGAGGGTACGCGGTGTAGTCAGTTGGAGGCGTGGCCACGGCTAGGGGGCTATATGCGACAGGGGGCGTGGTCACTACGGCGGGGGCGGGGCCTCCCGTTCGCACCTCTCTGCGCCGGCGCGGTGGGCGTGGCTCCGAGGGGCAGGGGGCGTGGCCTGCCCCGGTTCCCGGCGGGCGGTGGCTGTGGTCGCGGACGGGTCCAGGCGCCGGTCGCGGCCATGTCGGTGCGCGGGAAGCTGATCGCGGTGCTGGGCGATGAGGACACGGTGACCGGGTTCCTGCTGGGCGGCATCGGCGAGCTGGATAAACACCGCAAGCCCAACTTCCTGGTGGTGGGCAAGGAGACGAGCGTGGCCGAGATCGAGGAGGCGTTCCGGTAGGCGCCTCTCCGCCGGAGAGGGGCACGCACACACACACACACACACACACACACACACACACACACACACACACACACGCCAGGTAGGGATGGGGGGGTCCGGGTGCTGATGGGAGCCCCCGGCCCCCCGCAGGAGCTTCCTGAATCGGGAGGACATCGGCATCATCCTGATCAGCCAGTGCGTGGCCGACCTCATCCGGCACGCCGTGGAGGAGCACCGCCGGCCGCTGCCCGCCGTGCTCGAGATCCCCTCCAAGGACCACCCCTACGACCCCAGCAAGGACTCGGTGCTGCGCCGCGCCAGGGGCCTCTTCTCCCCCGAGGACTTGCGCTAGCAGCGGCCCCCCCCCCCGGAACAACCCCCGTGGAGCACCCCTGGAACCCCCCTTGGAACCGCCCCGGGGGACCTCAGCCCTGCCCGGGAAACCCAATTTCTCCCCCGTTGAGATCCTAAAACCCTCCTCTGTGGTGTCCTGGACCCCCTCCTCCTGGACCCCAGCCGCTCCCCGGGACCTCAAACACCCCCGGAGGTCCTAAATACCTGCCTTGGGACCCCAAAACACCCCCCGGGGCCCTAACCCCACCTCCAGGGTCATGAACACCCTCAGGGGAGCTCAGCCCCCACCCCCATGGACCTCAAAACCCTCTTTGGACCCCAAAATCCCTCCCTGGGGACTCTAAACTCCCCCCCCCCCCCTTTCCCCCGCGGTGCTGATGGGGGGAGGTGGTGGGTTGAGGCTCCCGTGACTCTGGGTCAGCAGCGCTGGAATAGGAAGTGCCGCCGCGGGGCTGCGTGATCCTGAGCGATCCTGGCTGGTCCTGACTGGTCCTGGCTCATTCTGCCCGCTCCCTGCCCATCCCTGCCTCGTCCTTGCCTGCTGCCCGTCCCCTCCTGCCGGTCCGTGCCCGTTCCCTGCCTGTTTCATGCCCATCCCTGCCCCCGAGCGGGTCTGGGACCCCCCAGGGGCACGCGGCTGTTGGACCGTGTCCCCCTCCGCCGCGGGTCCCAACACGAGCTGTCACCGCTGACGGCCTCCTGTGCTCTGTGGGGTGCAGTGTGGGGCTTGGTGGGGAGGGGAGATAGGCGGTGAGGCATGGGAGGGACAGGGACATAGGGTGGAGACATTCTATGGGGCACAAGGGGACAGGGACATGCTATGGGGCACAGGAGCATGTGGTGGGAGCACGCTATGGGGCACAGCGGAAGGATAAGGACACACAATCGGGCAAAGGAACAGGGGGTGGGGACAAGCTATGGGGCACAGCGTGGCAGAGGGATATGGGTGGGAACACACTGGGGCACAGAGACAGTGGGACAAGGGCACGCTACGGGGCACAGGAACATGGGGCAGGGTCACACTATGGGTCATGGGGGGCTGGACAGGGACATGCTATGAGGGACACCCACACCCCAGGGACCAGGAGGGTACTGAGGGGGTGATGGGCACATGTGCACATGAGGGGTCACACACACATGTGTGCACACACACGTGCACACGTGTGCGCACATACATGTGCCTGCACACACACGTGTGCACATGTACCTTCACATACACACCTGTGTGCACACATACATATGCCTGCACACACACACGTGTGCACACATACATGTGCCTGCACATACACACCCGTGTGCACACATACATGTGCCTGCACATGCACACACATACATGTGCCAGCACATACACACCTGTGTGCACACATACATGTGCCTGCACATACACACACATGTGCACACATACATGTGCCTGCACACACACACCCTTGTGCACACATACGGGGGGACGTTTAGATTGGATATAAGGAAGAAGTTATTTCCTGTTAGGGTGGTGAGGCACTGGAATGGGTTGCCCAGGGACGTTGTGAATGCTCCATCCCTGGCAGTGTTCAAGACCAGGTTGGACAAGGCTTTGGGTGAGATGGTTTAGTGTGAGGTATCCCTGCCCATGGCAGGGGGGTTGGAACTAGATGATCTTAAAGTCCTTTCCAACCCTAACTTTTCTATGATTCTGTGTGCCTGCACATACACACAAGTGTGCACACATACATGTGCCTGCACACACACACGTGTACATGCATACATGTGCTTGCAGCACACATGCATGTGTGCACACATACATGTGCCTGCACACACACATGCACACACATACATGTGCCTGCACACACATGTGTGCACACATACATGTGCCAGCGCACACACACGTGTGCACACATACATGTGCCTGCACACACACGTGTGCACACACACATGCTTGCACACATCAGGACTTGCAGGTGTGTGCACACACATATGCATGCCCAGACACACATGCACACATTCATGCCCTTTGGCGTGCATGCACATGCCAGCACACACACTAATGTTCACATGCATGTATGCAGACGCACACACGCATGTTCATCCATGTACAGTTTCATGTGTGCACACATGCATGCAGACATGAATATGCACACGTGTGCATGCAGACACCTTTGCATGCACTTAAGCGTGCATGGATGTGCATATGGACACACACATGTACACACGCACGTGCTCACAGGCACATGCACACGTGTGCATACACACATCCCTCTTGTATGCATGCGCACGTGTGCACACAGACATACACACGTGCATGCACACATCCCTTTCATGCACACACACACGTGCACACACATACACACGTGTGTATGCAGAAGCCTTCACATGCACACAACTCGCACTCCTGTACTCACACATGTACATAGATGTGTGCATGCACACACAGCTGCGTATGTGCACACACATGCACACGCAATGCACATGCACACCTCTGATCAGCTGCTGCCCCCATGCTCCGTCCTTATCCCCAAAGCTGCTTAGTGCAGCCCCAAACTCACCACAGGGCACACACCCGTGCACGCTCACCCATTACACGCAGGGATGGTGCAGGCAGGAGTAGCAGCGCAGGAGAGCACAGGTAGTGAATAGCACACTCAGGGGACTTCTTCGTTCTGCACAGGCAGCACTCCCAGGGCAGATGATGCAGGCAGGGGATGGTTCAGCAGTGCAGGCAGCGCAGGCAGCAGGCAGGGGCAGGGGAGGTGCTGCGCGGAGGAATGCTCCCGGCAGTACCCGCGGGTCGCATCCGCGACAGGAGAGAGCTGCCGGCAGGAGACACCCCAGGGCAGCGCAGGCAGGGCGGGCAGTGCAGGCAGTGGATAGCGCAGGCAGGGAATAGTGCAGGCAGGGATGGCACATGTATTGAGACACCCCAAGGTAGTGCAGGCAGAGTGGGCAGCACAGGCAGGGAATAACATAGGCAGAACAGGCAAGGAATAGCACAGGCAGGGAATAGCACAGGCAGGGAAGGTAGCAGATACCCCAGGGCAGGCAGGACTTACTCCAGGGCAGGCAGGGCAGGCAGCGGACACCCGGTGCAGGCAGCACATACCCCAGTACAGGGAGGGCGGTGAAGGCAGCGCGGGGCAGACGGGGCGGCGCGGGCAGGATTTACCCCGCACGGGGCGGTGCGGGCAGCGCGGCCCCTCCCCCCGTTAATCCCCCCCTCCCCCCCGGGCCGGGGCAGCAGCTCCGGGCAGGTAACGGGGTCCGGGGGGCTCGGCGGGGGTCCGGGGGGGTCCCGGTGTTGGGGCGCAGCGTGGGGGGACCCCAGCGCGGTGCTGAGGGTGGGGGTGGGGGTGTTGGGTGGCAGATGGGGACCCCCCCGCTCTAATTAGCTAATGGGGGGGACGCGCCAGATGGTGGCCGCCCCCACAGGCTGAGGGTGTCCGGGTGGGGGAGCATGGGGGGAACTCGAACACGGAGGGGACACACGGGGGACATGGGGGACACGCACGAGTGTCCCCTCGGCCCCCTGAGCCCCGAGACCGCGGGGACGGCGGGCATCCAACAACGGGGTATGCCCAGGGGAAGGGGACGGGGATGGAGACGAGCAGGAACTGGGAGCTGGGGATGGGGAATGGGGACCAGGGATCGGATCAGGGGGATGGGTACTGGGGGAGGCAGGATTACGGGGACAAGGGCAGGGGGACCCGAAGTTGGGGACACAGGGTACAGGAATGTGGGGATGGAGACCCCAGGGGTGGCAAAATGGGGAAGGGGACACAGAACAGGGACCTGGTGGGGGACAGGGATGGGGAGCTGGGGCTGGAAGCACGAGACCATGGCTGATGGGACACAGATGTGGGGGCACGGGGGACAAAGGATAAGGACAAGGGACGGGGACGCGGTGCCAGTCCCGGTCCTTCCCCCGTGCAGGGCACCACCGAGCGTCCCGTCCCTGTCCCCATGGCGGCGCCGTCCTGCCCGGCTCTCCTGGCCGCCCGCCTGGCACTGCTGCTGGCCACCGGTGAGCGCGGGCTGGGGACAGTGGGGATGGGGGGATCCAGCGGCTGGTGGGGACGGTGGCCGGGGCCTTGGAGACCCTGAGATGGGGTCACCAGGGAAGGGGACTCTGGGGATGAAGACCCAAGGATGAGGATACAGGTGATGGGGTCACCATAGAATGGGGACCTTGGGAAGGGGACCCTGGAATGGAGAGCCTGTGGGGTGACAACCATGAGACATGGGGACCCAAGGGCATGGGGACCCAAAAGCAAGGGACCCAGGGGACATGGTCAGCAGGGGATAGGGACCCAAAGGCTTGGGGACCCTGGGGGTAGCCACCATGAGTATTGGGGACCTAAGGGGATGGGGATCCAGGGGATGGGGTCATGAGGAAATGGGGACCTAGAGATGGAGCCGCGGGTCTGGGGACCCTCATGGACATGCCCCACACGTGCCCCACACCCTGCGGGTGCAGCACAAGGCGATGGCTGCAGCAGCTTCGGGAACGTGTTCACGGAGATCACGGAGAACAGCGCCCATGGGAGCCTGGTGGCGCGGCTGCCAGCAGGGGGGGACGCACCGGGGGCGCCCCTGCAGCTCTGCCTCATCGGCCACGACGCCGCCTGGTTCTACCTGGATGGTCGCAGCCTCAGGCTCAATGCGTCCAACGGGCGCGCGCTTGACCGCGAGGTGAGGCCACCGGGAGCTGCCCAGCTCCAGCCTGCATCCATCCCTCTGCCATCCTGCTTCCATCCTGCCTCCAACCCACCTCCATCCTGTCTCTGTTATGCCTCCATCATGTGTCCATCTGCCTCCATCTATCCCCAATCCACTCTCCAACCATCCTGCACCCATCCTTGGTCCGTCCTCTATCCGTTCTCCATCCTGCCTTCACGGGCCATCCATCCCCCAATGGTCCTGCCTCCATTGTGCCTCCATCGTGTGTCCACCTGTCTTCATCCACCATCCTGCCTCCATCCATCCTCCTCTCATTCTCCATCCATCCTGCACCCATCCCCGGTCCATTCTTCACCCATCCTCCATCCTGCATCCATCATGTGTCCATCTACCTCCATTCTCCATCCATCCTGCATCCCTGTGTCCCATCTGCATCCACCTCCCTCCATCATCCCTCCTTCAATCCACCTCTCTCCATCTTCCATCCATTCTGTGTCTGCCTGTGTCCATCCCATGTCAATCTTTCACCCATTCTCTATCCTGCAACAGTCTTGCCCACCTCATACGTCCGCCTTCTTCCATCCTGCTCTGCTCATCCCTCCTCCATCCCTCCTACATCCAACTGCATCTTCCCTGCATCCATCCGTCCATCTTTCAGTGTCCATTCTCCATCCATCCTTCATCCACTGTGGTCTGTCCTGGGTCTACCCTGGGTCCATCCATCCTGCACTCATCCTGGGTCCATCCATCCATCCTGGGTTCATCCTGAGCCCATCTATCCCATGTCCATCCCAGGTCCATCCTGGGTCTTTCCATTCTTTCTGCACTCATCCTGTGTCTGTCCTGTGTCCATCCATCCATCCATCCTGTGTCCGTCCTGCATTTACTACACCCATTGTGTGCCAGTCCTGTGCCCATCCTGACTCCATCCATCCATCCTGCACACCTCCTGCACCCACTTCCATCTGGTGTCCCTCCTGTCTTTACCCACTGCACCCTCATCCATCCAGCAGCCACCTCCCTCCACCTGCACCCACTGG